GGAGTGCCCCCCCGAGTGTGCTGTGGTGATGGTGCACCACTGAATTTACCACAACTCATCCAATCGTACACATACGGGGGGGGGGATTTTATGGGAATTTCATAGGGAAATTATTTCTTTATAAATTATATATATTTTTAAATATCTCTTTATTGATTTCAGAGAGAGGAAGGGAGGGAGGGAGAGAGAGAGAAGCATCAGTGATGAGCTGGGCTATACATTATATTTTAATAAAACTGTTTGAAACAAGGATGTACTGTTACGTGACCAGCAGGTGTCCTCACAGGCTGGCGGCTCTTATTCTCAAAGGCACATGTTTGCAGTGATTTCCATTAGCAGGGCTGGCACTGGTTGTCGGTATTGTTTTATTAATACTAGAGTCAAACCCTCCATCCCCCCTGAAGTACAGAGGCTGCCGCCCTGGCCAGTGTGCTCAGTGGTTAGAGCGTCAGCCAGCAAACCAAAGGGCTGTGGGTTCGATTCCAGGCCCTGGTCAGGGAGCATGCAGGAGGCAACCTTTGGATATGATGTTTCTTTCTCTCCCCCTCCCTCCACCCCTTCCACTCCCTCTAAAAATCAGTGGAGCCCGGCCAGCGTGGCTCAGCTGTTGAGCATCAGCCTATGATCCCGGAGACCGAGGTTCGATTCCTGGTCAGGGCACGTCAGGCTCAATCCCCGGGAGGGGGCGTGCAGGAAGCAGCTGATCAATGACTCCCTCATCATTGATGTTTCTCTCTCTCTCTCTCTCCCTTCCTGTCTCTCTGAAATCAATAAAAATATATTTAAAAAAAATAAAAATCAATAGAGAAATAAATAAATACATAAGACGCTGCCTGCTGGGACTTTCTGCCAGTATAGAAATGACCTGTGGCTCTGATACCTCAGACGCATGTGGCAAGAACACATTTGAAACACTCCTGGTCTGGCATATCTTCAAATTTAATTTAATTTTAATTCATTTACATTTAAGCAGCCGCGTGTGCTCATGGCCACCCTATATTGGACAGCTCAGCTCTAAACACCCATGTCTACCCCTCTCTTTCCCCCAAGACTGAAGACCCTCAGGAGGGGACCTGTGTGGATGGAAACAGCAAGGCGCCGGCGGAGGCGGCTTCTGTCCCTGCCCAGGAGCCCCCGGGACCCGGTGACTGCACCGCGGTGAAAGTGTAGGGGGCTGGCGGAGCCCCTGCAGGAAGGACTCCTCACCCGGGGAGGCGGGCTTGGGTTCGGGTGGCTGAGACGGCTGGGCGGATAGAAATCCGCATCACTGTGCTCTCTGCTCGTAATCCGTACTAATAAAACTAAGTTTTTGTTTTGTTTTTTCAAATATGTCGGTACCCTGGCTGGGTGGCTCAGCTGGTTGGAGTGTGTGTGTCCCCCCCCGAAAGGCTGAGGGTTCAATCCCTGGTTGGGGTGTGTGCGGGAGGCAACTGAGGGATTTCTCTCTCTCTCCCTCTCTCTAAAATTAATAAACATATCCTGGGATAAGAAGTATTTTTTTAAAAAGGGAATTGAATCATGTCACTAAACTATGGGGGAAACCAAGGCAGAGACCACCTCCGACAGCTGCGTCCCGCACTGACCCCGTGCAGACCCCTGTCCCGCCTGTTTCTCCGTGTCATTACTCAGACCAGCTGTGCCTCCCGCCGGCGGCTGGTCCCAAGTCCAGGCCCACAGCCCTGCACGGAGGAAAGGGGCTTTTATTTCCTGGATCTGTTTAGAAAAAGATGTTAGCGGCTACCTTTGGAAGATGCTAGAAAGCCAACTCCCAAAAGTCTTAAACACAGAACCAAAAAAAACCACAAAAAACTCCAGTGTTTATCCCGCCTTTCATTACAACCTGCGCTGCAGGACAGCCGGATAGTGGGGGGGACTGAGCTCCTGCTCCTACAGTTACTACGACAAATACCCAAAGAAGGCGCCTCCGGGCCCATCTCAGCCGGCGCCTGCCACGGGGGTGACAGAGGAGCCGTTAGTGTCTGCCCGCCAGAGACTGGCAGCGCCCGGCAGACCAAGCACCAGAGAGGCAGGGGAGGTCGGGCGGCGTCACTCAGGACATTGCTTTCCCAGTCTTACCCATAACAGCGGCAGAACCGAGCCGCCGGCCCACCCCGGACCAGAGCTCGGCTGACTTTTCCCGGAAAGCGGCAGAGAGGAACGTTCCCACCTCCGTGGGCCGCGGAGTCCACTCAGCTCCGCGGGCTGGGGCTGTGTGTGGACAAGCAGGTGCAGCTGTGCGCTAGTGAAACGTTATTTACGAGCACAAGCGGTGGGCCGTGCTGGCCAGCCCCTGCTCCAGAACAGTGCTTTTCAAATTTTTTTATGTCTTTATTGATTTCAGAGAGAGGAAAGGAGAGGGAGACAGGTAGAAACATCAATGATGAGAGTCATTGATCGGCTGCCTCCTGCATGCCCCCTGCTGGGGATGGAGCCCGAAACCCGGGCCTGTGCCCTGACCGGGAATCGAACCCTGATCACCTGGATCCTAGGTCGATGCTCAACCGCCGAGCCACGCCGGCCGGGCAAGAACAGTGCTTTTTGAAATCTGAACAAATTTACAAATAAGAATTGAATTAGCTGTAGCGGGTGGCTCCTCTGATTAGAGTGTCATCCGGATATGCCAAGGTTGCGGGTTCGATCCCCAGTAGGGGGCGGGCAGGAGGCAGCCGATCCATGCTTGGCTCTCACATCGATGTTTCTCTTTCTCTCTCCTTCTCCCTTCCTCTCTCTCTAAAAATCAATAAAAATTCTTTAGAAAAGAAAGAACTTCAAGACGGTGACCTTGGAGCATTAAGCCCAAACACAGGGTCCCCGTGTGAGTGGTGTGAGTGGGAGGTCCTGTTGGCACTGGGCGGGTGCCCCTGGACCCGGTGTGTTTGCACTCGTTTCACCCAGAAGCTCCCAGGAGTGGCACCTCTGAGGGAGCGTCCCTTGCTCCCCTCTTCTCAGCAGCCCCAGGTTGTCAAGGTCGCCTCCGGAAGGGGGGGGGCGGGGTGAAGTCTCCGTTCCCTTTGCCACAGAAGTCATTCTCTCTAAAACTTGGGAGTTCTCCGACCATCTGTCTCACCATGTGGAGGAAGCCAGTCTTTCCCGAGAAACGCGAGGGTGACTCAGGCAGCACCAGGGAAAGGAGCCCAGTGACAGTGCCAACAGTGTTTGGGGTTTTTTTTCTAGCTTCTAATTGCTTCCAAATCTCTGCCTCCCTTCTCTCCTTGCAGCTTTCTTGTTCCCTCAGTCTCCTCACCCTCAGTGCCAGAAACAAAAGAAAACCAAACCCCAGAAGTCCTTTGAGTCTAAGTTAGTCCGAGAAGGGGGCCTGGTTTTGGTCAAACCGCCATGACAAGTATTTGATGACTCTAACAAATTATTTATGGACATCCATTCTGGTATTCACCCTCCTTAAATTAGGATAGTAAGTCTTTGATTTTTTAAAATATGTTTTTATTGATTTCAGAGAGAGGAAGGGAGAGGGGGAGCCCGAAACCCAGGCCTGTGCTCTGACTGGGAATCGAACCCGAGCTCTCCTGGATCCTAGGTCGATGCTCAACCACTGAGCCACGCCGGCCAGGCTAAGCCTTTGATTTTAATAACACGATTGCCGACTGTTTATTTTCTGAAATCACCAAAACCGTAACAAGTGTAGTCCAGGTTTGTTTGTTTTTAAGCACGTGGGACATGCCAAGAAGAGGCCAGCAACCACGGGAAGACGAGAGTCCTTGTTTTTCAGGCTGTTTGGATATAAGTTGCGGGTTGTGTGAAGTCGGGAAGATTTCTTAAAATCCCTGGAACTCCACATCCTCATCACAGACAGACAGCTAACTGTGGTCAGCAGTGAGACAGACGTGAGCAGAGCAAGGACGAGGGGCCAGGTGCAGGAGGTACCAGACAGCTGTAGGGTGGGACCTCACCCCCAGGGCGGCCTTTCCCCCCCAGCACATCGCTGGTCACGGGGTTTGGACCCTCTGACCTCCCCTCCCCAGAGATAACATCTAGGCCTCAGTTGTTTCAGCCCCAGGCCCAGAAAAGCAGCAAAACCACACCAGTGACCCCATGGCTGACCCCTGGACCAGCTGCAGTGGCTAATGGCCCTCTGCCCTGGCGCTGGCCAGTCGGTGGAGACACCCTGAAAGGACACACCTGGAAGCTGCTGAATATTCTATTGAGATCCCCCACCCCAACCTCCCTTAAAATCTCCACCCTTAAACCCTGAGGACAGAGGGCCCAGTGAGCTCCCCCTCCTCTTTCCCAGCCCCCTGGGCGGGTCACCTTCCCCTTCCCCGATTCTAAGCTCCAAGGGCCCTTCCTTTGCCTCTGTAACCTGCTTCATCGGCCCATTTCTTCTATGAATCACTCCTTCTATCCCTGTAATTTTCCAAATAAATGTTCTCTTATCGCTCGAGTCTTGGCTCTGAATTCTCTCCCAGCCAGAACCCAAGTACCGAGGATGCCGAACCCAGGTCCGGTCCAACCCCAACATCTAACACCTGGTGCCACCCCAGCGCCGACAACAATAGGGTTGCTGTGGGCACTGTGACCAATGGCCCGAGGATTCCCAGGACATGGACATGTCAGGGCTGAAGCTGAGACTGTCCCGGCACGGAGGAGCAGTGGGTCACCCTAGCTGTAAGCACACCCACTGTAAGGATGCAGACGCGATCATTACGGTGATTAGGTCCCCCCACCCATCACACCCGCCTCGCAGGCTTCATTCTTCACCTGTGCCCTTGGGGGCCCCTAAGGCAAACCCCATGACCCTTCCAGCCTCTTAGGTACAATGACTTACCGTCACTGTTGTGGATTTTTATTTCTATTTTTTTAGTCACGTGGCAAAGGGAAAAATAGCCTCGGCTCAGTCGTTGAACTGCTTTTGGCTGCGCTGGGCTTGGTCAGCTGCTTCTTCAGCGCCGCACCTGCGGCCTCTGTGCTCCCCCCGCCCCCCAGGCTGCAGTCCTCTCCCGGCGGTTAGCTCTCCAGGCCTGCTGGTCACCCAGGGCGACCCCCGGGCGTCCCCCCGACGGTCAGCCTCTGGCTGCAGGGCTCACCTGCCACCCCCAGGGGGCGCTCGTTGAAAGGCTATAAGAGGCCTGGTTCATTCATAGCCTCT